AGTTGTTCCAGGATCACTGGAAAGAGGCACGGGCAGGGAGGGGTGGAAAGTGGATCTGTGCTTGAATTGGGTAATTTACCTTATCTAAAATCTTTGTTTTTCCGGTGTCCACATGCCCTAGTACACAGATAACAGGAGATCGCAAGTTGTCCGTGCTGCGGTTGGCTTCTGCTCTCACATGCCTTTTCTGAAAACAAAGAAATAACACATCATCAAAAAACAATTTTTCTCAGACGCAAGATTATCATAAATGTTTGTAATTCTTTCGATCTTCCTCTGGTAATTTAAGTTAAGAAATCCCACCTGTATTCTTTCCCATACAGTCTCTGTTTTGCTTTCCTCGTCGTCCGACTCTTCTTCGCTGTCACTGTCATCGTCATTTTCCTCAGAGTCACTTTCTTCTTCACTTTCCTCACTCTCCTCAGATTCTTCTTCACTCTCAGCAGCTACATCTGTGGGCTCTTTGACTTCCACCTTCAAAAAAACCGTCGGACAATTATAACAGATTAAGAAAGGCCTCGCAGTTGATTGGACTGTAATAAATTAAACTGGCCTCTTCAAACTTTTCTAGTATTCTGCTAACGTCCCAAGTGTCCGGTAAACCGACAGATAGTTCTTTCTATTGTTTTATAAAAATTGCTCTAGGTTTATCGCCACAATTTACAACAGGTGTTCAACCAATTAGAGTGAGCATTTTGGTTCTTTAGAACACGTTATAATGTTGGTAAATCACTGTTATCCTGACAATGTTATGTTACGTACAAAGTATAAGCGCCTCTTACAAAAAGACGAATAGAATAGTCATGTACCTGAACGGTGTCGGCTGGTTTGGCATTAGAATCTACAATAAAAAAGGCTTTTGTTGAGATTACTGCATTTTTTAATTAATAACGAATATAAACACCACAAACACAACAGGACCGTAAAGAACTACTATGCGGTTACACATTTTGTTGAGTTATTCGCGGGCGAATAACGCTCGTTCTGAAGCGCTTCTGATGAGAGCCTGCCTCCTAAATGTTCATTACGTCTGATATCACAACCGACAGACCACAAATGAGAATTAAGAACTAAGGGTTACCACAAAACTGGAAAAAGGAGGAAGGAAATTTATACCAGACGAAAGTACAGAAAATCGCAGACCTTTACCAGCAGTGCTTTCCTCTGTTTCTTCATCAGAATCAACATCCCAGGAATCCTTAACCTACAGAACAAACACAAGTTAACCAGAAAACTAACAGTGAGTCACATTTTGCAAAGAAAGACTTTCAGCTTCCAGGGCTAATTAGACTATGCTTACAAGACTTGAATTTAAGATTTAACCCTGTAACTCCTATAGGCCATGATATAGTTTTTTCCTTACCACAATACCAAGCAGACAAGAGATAAGAATTTAGAAAAAATATCGATAAGGGGATTATTAGTTGATCCAATACCAAATTATCCAAACTGACTTACCTCATCTTCTTCCTCGTCTTCTTCATCTTCCTCTTCCTTGTCTTCTTCTTGTTCATCGTTTTCAGTGTCATCATCCTGCAGCTCTGAAGAGGATACAATGAAAAAAAAAAAAACTGTACATTCTTGAACTTAAAGATTCTCTATGCATCTATTTAGCAAAAAAAAATTTTCATATTTACTATTAGTCATTCATACCATCAGATTTCTTGTCTTCCTCTCCAACAGTTGCACTTTCAGTTGTTTCTGGTTTTGGGTGAAATGTAATCACACAAAGTTATGATATGATTCATTATTATTTTTTTCGTTAATAAAGTCTTCAATTGGTCAAGTTTTGTTATTGTCTGTCTGAGTTTAGGTCAAAAATCTGTGGCTTGTACACAGCTTGTATGTGAATAGATTACCTAATTAGAACTGCATCGCAGCCCTTTTAAAATAAATTTCAAAACACAAAATTATTTTCCTAACCAATATCCTCGGCCTCAGCCTGCACTGTTTCTTCCTGATCTTGTTCCTGTTGCTGCTGCTGTTGCTGTTTCTTTGATTTTTTTGTGCCATACCTCACTGGCTTCCTCACTCCATCCTGTTCTTGTTGATTCAGGGCCGGAATGTTGATTAGACCTACAATTACAAAAGATGTTCAAAGTGAGCATCATTTCCTTGACTCCTTTGCTTGAGAATTCACTCTGCTCAGGGTTGACTAAAAACCAACTTGCTTTATCACTTAGGTACCTTGTTTTTTCATCGAATCTAACATGGCTTGAGCTTGTGCTCGCTGTTGCCTCTGTGATTTAGTGAGGAGTTTTCCTTCCTTTTTAAGCCTCTCTTTCTTCTCCTGCAAATTGCCATGAATAACAAAATTTGTGCCAGTGGAATTGGTGCATAAACTAGTAAGACATGGAAAGGTAGTAGTGACCATGTGCAACCACTGTATTCAGAGTATGATTATGTTTTTCAATTCAAGGTTGAATAATATGCTTTCACTCTTTGATTCCCAGAAGTGATTAACATGTAACTTCTCCTTATAATATCCATTCAATATCCAGCTAATAGGTAATGAGAATTCCCAAACTTATCAGGTAGAAGTTGTTATCTTGATCTAACACCAAATTCTTGTAACTAGATCACAAGGAAATGTAGCAGCCAGAGGGGAGAATCAACAACCAGATCTTGGAAGTTTTGAGGGTTAAGTTCTGGGTTTATAATGATGAAAAGCACACCTATGTACCTTCTCTTTCTGTTTTTTCTTCTCTTTCCTTTCCTGTTCAAGTCTTAGCTGCATAAAGAAAATATTAATAACAAATCAGTTGGTAAGTAATCAATAAGCAAAAACTCTAGTCAGGTCAATCATTAACTCAAAGTTATCAATGTATATTTTGCACACAAAAAAAAAATCATCACAGGAAATGACAGGCAGTAAATCAATTGGTTTAATAGTAAAAGACATGATACCTTCTCAAGTCTCCTGTTCTCTGCCTCTTCAAGAGCTCTTTGTTTCTCTTCCTCTTCCTGTTTCCTTCGTTCTTCCTCAGCCTTGAGCTTCTCCAGCTGCTCCTGCATCTGTTTCACCAAGGCCTTGTTGGGCTTCTTCACTTTCTTCTCTTCTTTCTCTCCTTTTTTCTTCTTTTTCTTTTTCTTTTTATCTTTTTCCTCTCCATCCTCTTCACCTTCTTGGTCTTCGGCCTTGTCTTCCAGGTTATCAGGTACTGTCTTGTCAGCTTCCATGTCACCTGCACCTTATGAAAGAAATTAATTTAAAAAATAATAATAACAAATAAAAAATCTTCTGCAGAAGAAGCAATTCAGTAATAAGTTACATACTTTAAAACAATTGTGAACCATGGAATCTCTACGGCAGTTTTCAGTTGAGCTTTGTCAAACCAAAATCAAAGTAATTGCAAATTGAAGTGAAGATCAACTTCATTGTTAACCAATAAAAACTCAAAGTAAAATGAGGCAAACTGCATGAAACGCTTCTATAACTATTGAAATTGAATTACAGTAACTACAACATGTTCTGATTCTGTACCTTCTCCCTTATCTTCATGGCTGGTTTCAGCTTGGGTCTCACCAGTCCCCTCTCCACTCTTGTCATCCTCCTTGGTTTCTCCTTTACTTGCCTCTTTTGTAGCTTTTGCTTTTGCCTTGGCTTTTTCAGCTTCTTTTTTCTTTTTCTCCCTTTCTTTCTTTTCAGCTCTTTTTTGTGCAGCTGTTTTTATTATGGCACCAGAATCATCAGGATTAGTGTCAGGTTTCGGAGCTGCAGTATCTTGCTTTGGAACAGGTTTCACTTCGTCATCTCCAGAATCTTCCTCCAAATCAAAGTCAAAATCCTTTTTGTCTTTCTTTTTCTTCTTGGACTTTTTAGATGTGGTGACATTAGGTTCATCTAGAATCTCATTATCATTATTTATCTCCAAAGTATCATTTTCACTTTTGCCATCGTCCTTGGAAGCAATTTGTTCAATTTCTGTTTCAGTTTCACCTTGTTTCTTTTTTTTGTCTTTCTTATTTTTCTTTGAACTTGTCACTGTTTCCAATTCATCGTCATTTCCATCAGCTTCCATGACCCCATCATCTTCAATATCAAGACCTTGAAACCTGCCACCAGCATTTTTGTTTCCCTAAGAAAACACACAAGTTACAAATCAAACTAACAAATAGGTTTTACATTGCCATGCATCAGTTCAGTAATAGATCAGAGATGGTATCAAAAAGAAGAACAGCAAAGTAGTGCATAAGGTGTAGCTGAAAGTGTCACTAATGTTCTTACCACATTTTGAAAGCATCTGTGATTTATTACTGAACAGACCCACAGCAACATGGAATCTATTTCTTTTATAATCACAACCATTACAATTTCCTCAAATGTGATTGGTGCATTAGCTGCTTTATTTTTTACTAATCATTCTGTAGAGCTGTAATCAGACTGTGTAATCACACAGTTGGCTGTAATCAGACAGTTGAAGTAGCCAATCATACTAAGTCCACTCAGCCAAATTCACTATTCACAGAATTAATCACAACAACTATAGCAACAACTAATAATCCTCAAAAAAAATTGTGGAATTTCCAAAATAGAGAATTATTTTTACTCAGGACATTGTCTCTACCAGAGAAATTTGACCAAAATGTATTTGTTGTTTTCTGAAATTGTAATGGTTATAACTAATTAGTAACAGGACTTCTAGTTGTCCAGTTCTGTCTGTAATCATACTTTTGATTGACAAATTTGACTCCCACATTGTGGCCATCCAATTTTGTTAATCACCCTTATGATTACAGACCGAATTGGACCCCTCTTGGTTGTATTACCGTCATGTAATAAAGAAGCAAAAAAATGTTAATGGTGATGTCTTTCATGTAGCTATTCTCCAATAGATTATAAGGACCAATCAAAATGAGTGCATAATTCTGCATATTATAGAAAGTCTTGTAAAAACCATTCCAAAGTAAAATTACAAACAAGCCACAAATTACTCACTGCATTATGAGACATGGACAACCCATATTTGGGTTATAACTGTTTATTTCAAATGAAAGTTGTACTTTTCAAAAGAATGTTTTAAAAAATAGAAACAGATTGCCATTTAATTAAAGCATCTTACCTTAGGTTCACTTGCACCATTTTCTTTGTCTAGTCCGTCCTCCTTTAATGATTCAAGATCATTGAGCACATCATCCTCCCTGAAAATGGTAGTTTTTTAGCTCAGTTGGTAGAGCACTGCACTATTATTGCAGAGGTCATGGGTTCAAATTCAATACAGGTCTGCCTTTTTCTCAGGCCTTATTTTCACTACTGCTTAAGTTGTGTTCATAACTGTGAAGATTGCTTGCAGATTCATTTCTTAAACTGCAGTCCACACATATGATTTTCATATATTTACAGTCATAGATACTGGTCTTTATCAAAACATGGTCACCTTCAGCCTCACTCCAAATTAAAGGCATGGCAACTGAGTACACAGCTGTAAAATGTCTTATTCTGATGATTTTGATTCAGATAATTTAGTAATAAATCAATTAATAATTCCCTAGTTGATAGTTTTCCTCATTCTTGTCACTTGTCTGCTTGAATTCATATTGATGCTGTAAGGAGAAATTCTGTCTCGGTCACTCATGGTAGATTAAAGGCTAATTGATAGCCAACTAATAATAGTTAGCATATAGTCAATAGAAATTAGACCAATCATCAGCTGATGTCTTCATGTCCCAATCATGAACTGGTGTCTGTCTTGGTCGCGAAACAGTCAGAATAATTTGATGTTTCAGATGTTATTGAAAAGCAAAGGCAATAATTTTACAATAATCACTCTGTAACACGTGACAAAAAGTACATCAAGTAATATACTACTTAAGTTATTCTTACCAATCAGCGTCCTTCTTTTTCCCTTTCTTTGGCTTCCCCATCCTTATCTTGGTTCAATTGCCGCACGTTTTCGTAAATTAAACTATCTACCAAATCATGTGGAGAATAATTCACAACACAGGAAGCAAGTCAAAAAGATGACTGGCGCTATCTCTTTGTTTGTGATTCAGATATTCTATCGATTTCTGTCGTTTCTTTAAGTTGCATAGGCAAAAACGTCATTTAAAACCAAATATGAAAATAATTTAGGATAAAGAGCTCAAATGGAGTTGGATCTGAACCGTAAAACTACTAAACTTTAAAATAGAATCCACGAAAAAAGTTATTGCATGTGAATTTGTAAGATCGTCGTAATCTTCTTCCCCAGTCCATCCCTCGGAAGTCAAATGAAATCCCAGAGTTCCTCACTCGCTGAGTCAGCCGAGAAGCACACATGACATAGTATCATGGATGTCGAGGTTCCTGGAAGAGGGATCGGACTTTTACCAAGCCCGTTGAGTTCAAATTAGCCACATTTTCCCCTTAGCGAGAAATATTCTTTATGTCGAACAAAGAAAAGTACTCATCGGATGGTAAGGGCCGCCGTAACGAGTCCAGGTAGGGATATTTTTGCTTGCATCTTCATCGATAGCTGATTTGATGGCAATGCCCCTCTTTAATACGCCGGTTTACTTGGGGTGATTTGTCATCGGCATGTGTCTTAGTAGTGTGCAATTTTGGGCTTGTTAGCGCACTTTTAAATGCACTCTTTTCTTGTCCAGGAACTGTAGCCAAGATAACGTTGGTGATGACAGCGCAGACATGTAAGTTGTACAATCCTGTACTTGTAAAAATCTAATTTATATTACAAGCTTCGATTGAACGCCAAATATGATATTTCAGTGTGTAATTTTATGTGTTGTAAATCCTATTTGTAACGCGTTAGTAGGCAGAGTATTTTGTCTAAACTAAATGCTGATCAGTCTCCCTTTTCACGTGAAACTAAGATCATGTTAGTGGTGTTATTGGCAACTCAAACTTAAAGGCACCAATTCTTTTTATCGTCTTGGCAACACCATGCTACCTCAACGTGGATTTTTATGCTATTATTTAATGTGGTGTAATGCTCATTAGTTCAAACACTTTCGATTTCTTGTATGAGGACCTTCTTTGTTCTGATTTGCGTGTTAATCTGGCTTTCATTGCGTGGGGGCGAGAAAAATTACTCTTGCCATGTGGTGTTTTGAATTTGTTGGACACCATTGATGACGAATTATTTACTGTGTAGAGCGATTGTGGTGTTAATAGCACAGCTACGATGTGAATTATGTAAATCAGTTCGATTTTATTCGTTCACACGGAGTTAAGATAATCTAAGCTTAAAATTACATAGGACGCTCTTGCAATAATTTAAATTTTGGCTAATTATTCATAGAATTTATGTACATGTCACAGATACAGATGCTACTGATGCTTTAATGGTTTTCTTTTGAGGGAGAGAGGAGGGGGGGGAAGTCCTATTTTCCTCATGCTTTTAAAGGATCATATTCAGAGTTTCCTCTTTAACCCTATAACTCCCAGAATGGGGTAATCTGTAATTTCTCCTTATGATATCCATAATTGTGTAGCAAATAAGAGAATACTCAAACTTATCAGGTAGCAGGTTCCAAGATCCATTTTTAAAATGTTACCTATTGGCGACCTTCATTGTGAAATGGTTGCCATTGAAAATTTTGGTCACTTCACACCCCTCCCCCCTTCCCTCTATGGTCACCAAAACAGTCACAAGTTGGAGCACTGTGTAGAAGTTGTTATCCTGATCTTACATCAAATTTCCAAGGTAATGGGTAGCAGCTTGAGAAGATATTTAACACTCAGATCTTGGCATTTAACGTAGAAACATGTCTCACTATTATTGGTTTCATCCAATTTCTTTGCAAATGGCTGCAAATTAAAAAAATTAGAAGTCAGCATTATATCAGTCTCAGTTGTCATGCATTGTCTTCACCCTCCAACTCCCATTGGTGACCAAGACAGAATTTCTCCTTACCATATTAAAACAATATCAACCAGACAAGTAATCAGAATAAAGAAAAAATATCAATTAGGGGATTGGTTGTTGATCCAATACCAAATTCTTCAAACTAACATCATAGAAATTGTATGGCAGACAGTAAGGAGAATTAATGATTGGATCTTGGATCATGTGCTTGACTGCTTAGAGAAGTCTTTGTATCCTAATCAAACTTTTAACTACCTTTGCCAAAACATTATTAATTGAGAACTGAAGAAATGGTGGGACTTTATTTTTCTACTTTGTTTTACATCAGTTAAATTTTTTTGGCTGAGATGATGTAATTTGATGCATAACCTTGAGTCTGAGAAGTGAAATGATTATTTGGAAAAAGTATTGAAAGATAAGTCTTTAATTTTGCTCCCAAAAAAGTGTACAAACCCTATACATTTGAAGGAAAACTTATGTGTGCCAATACAGAAATATGAAACAAAATTAAGATTGAATCTGTATTTCACTGGTTACATCCAGGCATAAGGAAAAAAAAAAAAATAGGGAAATAGAGAGCATTTAGGTAAATGCCTTGGCTATTGCATTGCATCATGGATTACTGGCAATATATTATTTGCAGTGATGTACATTTGCAGTGGCATGTATCATTTATCTTTTTGCAGGAAGCGAGCTGCCGAGCAGAAGATAAAGAACTATTTTTTCCAGCTGACAGATGGTTGTGGCTCCCATGAATGTAAAAATGAGTTCTGTGCGTCCAGTGGAAGAAAGCAAACCTCCAAGGATGATGCAGCAGCTTTGGCGTTACAGTTATTCATGAAGAAGGCCCGTCTCTGTGAACCTCTGCAAGATAAAAATCACAAAGGTATGATTATACAGTGATTCTGTAAGATTTTAAGGTTTTCAAGAAAGTTCAAGACTTGTTTTATTATCAATTTGGTACTGACGGAATTAAAAAAACCACATAAACTAATTTTAGAAAGTACAGTTGTACACACTTTGACAATGAAGCCCTTAATTGTTAAACAAATCAAATTAAATTATGATGTTTATTATGTACAAATTAAGATGAAAGGAAACTTTGGAGGTTGTCCTTATTGTGGATGTTCTCTGTATAACATTGGAAATAGGAAATAAACTACAGTGTGATAAAATAAAATTGTAAGAACTAGCAAGAGTTTAGCTTACTTACAGCAAAGGCAAACAAATCAGAAACAACCAAATTTTTTTCTTAAGGTTGAAAGTGTCAGCTTTTCAAAATTGTTTAAGGCTTTTAATTTACTTTTACCAACATGTAGTTGATATTCAGTGAAGTGTTTCACTTGCCAGGGGATGCAACATAACATCTTAGACTTTCAAAACTTTCTTCATTTATATGTGCTTTATCTAGCTTTTCCTTGGCATCACTAATTAACTTGTGTGGTATCACATAATTTTGTAAGAGTTCGTGTCATGACATCATTGATATTTGTTACTCTTTTCCCTCATTTTTATGTAAGGAAAGTTTTTTTGTAACATTAATGAAATATTGTTGCATGGCAACTGTTAACCTAACGTAACTATTAATTTAGTTTTTGATGAGTAGGGAAATTATGATATTTAAGCGTTGGAGGAAGTAGTAGGGCATTTAACATTACTTCTACTGAATGATTGTTTACGATTATTAGTTCCAACACAGGAGGCACCATTTCTCACAGAAAAATCAGTTTTGAAAAACCTTGACTCATTTGCGGAAGAGGGAAGCTACAAGAAGCTTGTACACAACATTGGCATAGTGTTTTCTAGTTCTGAATCACTGAACAAAAGTTTCCTGTTAGATTCAGCAAGTAGACAAAACTCAGGGACCAATGTTGACATAGAGGCTGTTCGGCGTATGTATGCAGCCCTGTTTAAAACAGGAGATTCCTCTGTGGAGAACTCATTAATAAATTCCCTGGTTGCCTTATCCCCAACTCTGGAAGTGGAAATGCGATTCAAGTCACCAAGCAATGATCCAAACTTCTTGAATCAATTTGTGATTATCATGGAAAACACCATGTTACAGAGTCCAGAATATTTAGATCAAGCTCTTCCTAGTTTTCTGAAGGCCATGGCGTTACTGTCTGCTAAACAACAAGCAAACTTAGTGCATATCTGGTCACAGTTTTCAAGTCAGGAAATTCGACGAATGGTTGAAACACTTCAGCAGCTTGTGACATATCAAGTTTTAACAGGACCTTGTGCTACAAGCACTGCACCAGTACAAGAGGATGATGCAATAGTAGCAGCAACCAAAGTCATGAAACTTCTGTATTATGCAAGTGTAATGGGTGGAATCTTTGATCAAACTTGCTTAAGCAACAGCCATGATGGAGCAACGGGAGGTGATAATGAAGAGGACCCTCTAGTTAAGGAATTGAAAATTGATGTACAAGACTGTCGCCAACCATTAGTTAAATACCAAGAGTTTGTTAATGATCCGTTAAATGACCAAATTGAAGTAGATCGTGATTATACCTACTACAAACATGAGAAGGGGACAAAGTTTTCCTTTCTAAAGTACAACTTCATCCTTTCTACGGTTACAAAGAGCATGGGTTTGTTTTATGATAATCGGATACGCATGTATAGTGAGAGACGGCTGACTATACTTTACAGTCTCGTGAGAGGAGAGCAGGGAACACCATACCTAAAACTCAAAGTGCGACGAGATCACCTCATTGAAGATGCTCTTGTTAACGTAAGTACATGTATTGTATTTATTCAATTAAGCCCTCAACCTTGAAAAGGCACCCACTTCAAACAAGAGCCCACTCTGAAGATACAGTGTAGTCCCATAAGCACCCAGCCTTGAATAACGCATTGTTTAGCCAGGGAGCAGGGTTTTGTGTTTGGGTTTTGCCTTACTGCCCCTTTACTGCACATGGCTACCTATTACACCATCAGCAACAGCTTATGTAAATGTTATTGAAATCTCTGCAGGCTCTTACACAATCTATGTAACTCAGTCCTTGTGTGGAGGTAGGCCACTGAAACAGTTTCAAAGCTGACATCAGAGCGAGAGATGAAGGGCTAACACTCGAAACATTAGCTTTGAAACTCTTTATGGTGGCCTATTTATTTTTACTTTTCAACTCAGTTGTTCACACTAAATTACCCTGTTATACTCTCCCATCAACCAGCACCACACTTTCTTCTTGTGTGCAGACTTTGATTAGGTACACATACATATGAACTACACTGTTACAAAGTATCTTTTTTCTTCAAACAGCTTGAAATGACTTCACAAGATAACCCAGGTGATCTAAAGAAGCAGTTGTATGTTGAGTTTGAGGGAGAGCAGGGAATTGACGAAGGAGGAGTGTCTAAAGAATTCTTT